TCCTTTACTTCTCTCCACCCCTCCATCCCACCCGGCCCAAGGGGGGAGTGGGCGAGCGGTTGTGTCATACTTAGTTGCCAGCTGGGGTTAAACCACGACAGTCCTTCATCTGGGTTAGTCCTGGTAATGGAGTAGTTTGAGTTTGTTTTGAAACAGCTTTTTAACTTCACAGTTCAATGAACTGTACTGTGATCGGCGGCCATTACAGTATGTTGCTGTGAAAACTGGAACTTTAGAAGAGTAGAATTTCAGTTGTGTATGTGTTCCTCTGAATCAATAAGTGTTCTAATTGAAGGTGATGGATAAGTGCAACAGAATTCATTCACTATTAACATTAATGCATCGTGTTGAATATCTCATTACCTTGTGGTGTTCAGCAGCTTTGTAAATGACTCCTCCTGTCTCAGCTTTCTCTGAACTTTTGCTTTTTGTCTCCTATATGGTAGGAAAAGACAGAATTATATTTGCGACCAAGGAGGACCATGAGACACCAAGCAGCGCTGAGCTGGTTGCAGATGACCCAGATGACCCTTATGAAGAACAAGGTCAGTAGTAAGCAGAAGAACGGAAGTAAGGAGTGATACATCACATATACCATATTCTCACAATCTTAAAAAAAACCAACAAAACCAAGAACATCAAAAACCAAACCTTGTATGAAGTAGGAACAAATTATTCATTCATTTTTAAAGACTGAGGGCAGCTGGTTATTCAGTAGATAAACACCCAAACTCTTAGCAGTTTTAACTTCCAAATTAGGACATCACAAATGACGTGCTTTTCCTTACAGTGGAGTTTTTTTTCTACACTTTTAATGATCTTTCAAAGTGGCCTGTTCAAATACATCAGTTGATGGCTTATAGTTTTGGTTAGTAGCCAGAGATATCCAGAAAAAACTTTTGTTCCTTTCTTTTATTAACCAAGTTAGAGCTTAACCAGTGAGAATTATGATTGATTTTTCACTGTTTTAAATGACAAAGTGCAATTTTCAGAGAAGCTGAAGTGAGTTACATACCACTATCATTGATCTGAGTTGCTCACCTGCCTGTGTGCAGCTGAAACTGCCTAACATGGTGATCTCTGAATATCTGATGTAATATAATTTATATCTGACTAATCCTGTTCTATACTAGTAGCAATATAATCAATAACTAGTAGTAATATCTTTCAATGGCACATGACAGGTAAGTTCAAATTACTCAGTTTTCAACTATAACCATTGTGCCTTGAAAAGATGTAAGTTAAATTTTTGGTGAAGATTACAGTTCTTATATGAAGTAGATCTCACCTGCACATGGAGATTTAAGAGAGCAGAATATTTCCGAGATCAAGACTTGTAATATTCTGATTGCACAGAGCATATTGTAGGTTGTTTCTAATGGGTAAATGAAATAATCATCATGATAATCATGATAATTAAATATCATATCATGATAATTAAATAAATTTTGCTCTAGGTTAATAAATTGTCATGAACATCTGTGAATTTGGCTTAATTTTTTTTCTAATTCCCTTTATGCTTACAAGTCTTTTAGCCTCTTCACTTTGTGTGAAGTGGTCTCATTGCTTTCAGCTCAGCTGAGGTTGAAGTAAATGCTTCACTCTCTTTGAAATTTTGATAGGAAGTAGAAGCTATGCAAGTGGCTCTGTGACCTTTAGAGGGCAGTATTTAAGCGCAGTTTAGCAGCTGGAGCACACAGGGTCACTTTGTTAGCTGATAAGATCTGTAGTTTAGTTTGAACCACATCTTCCTATGTCATTAAAATAACTTTTCATACATAGATTTGTGTTGAAATGATTTTGCATTTAGCTGCCTACCTTGGCTTCATTACAACTGTATGTAGTCAGTAGATATATCTAAAAGTTTTGCTCGTCAGCAGTGATAAGTCTGTTCAGTTTTATAATGACCCAAATGAGAACAATGAGATAATTTCAGTTTCAGAAAGGTGTTTAAAAACTGCAGTTCAGTATCTGTCAGGAATTCTTCTACCTCATAGTTTCAGGTAGGTTGTTTTGCTGGCTAAGGCCCGATACCCAAACTGCCTATTTGGTGGAAACAATCTATGCTTTGGCATTTGTCACCATCTTCACCATGGGAATGGTGCTTCAGCTCCTAAAGATTTCAAATAGAGACCCTTACAGGCAATAAAATCTACATGGTGTTTACATCTGTTACTGCCTTGACCAGTATGGAACCTACCAGTGATTCATGTAAAGCAGTTCATCCTTAGGTGGAAAACTCTGTCTGAGGAGAGCTCATTTTTAAAAGTATTTGCTCCTGTCAATATGCTGTGTGGAAGTGAAACAAAATCGGAGTTTTTAACTCCTGTCTCAGGCAAATTTAAAATCCGTTATTGGTCTGTTAAGTGAAGAGTTAACAGCCTCTAATGATCAGATGGTGGAATTAAGTTCCCCATTCCTTTTCTGTGGCCTGTGACTTTGTTTCCTCTGAAAAGCTGGAGACTGCTTGCAGAATAAAGCAAAGAAAGATACTTTTTCTAGGTATCGCATGTGGAGAACGTACAAACCCTTGGAGATTTTATCATTCACTGAACTGTTAAGTCACCTTGCGTGGTGTACAGCTAAGCTAAGTGGTGTGCTGTTTAGCTAAGGAAATTCATGTGTGCAGTCTGTATTGATGTTACATGTGGTTGTTTAAAGTTCACCTATCTTCCCCTTATAATCATTCATGGTCTTTGGTGATAATTAAATATTCTGTTAGTAAAAGGTATCTATCTAGCAACAGCATGTGGATGCCTATTGGTCCTATAACTAAGCATCTATTTTTGACACCAGCTTTTAAGAGGAAAGAGAAGGGTGCCCATCTCAGATCTAGCATAATAGAGAGACTTACTACAAAGGCTTGGAATGTGAACATAGAAAACAATTCCCTTGGTACCTCTAAAGAGGGGATTCTCTTCCTTCTGTCTCACGCCCCACCCCTCTGCCCCAAATTATTATTTTTCTGGTAGTATGTATACCACAAGTATATAGTCTTGTGCCATATATTTGGGTAATAAAGTAGCCAAAATTAAAAGAGCCACTTCCTCCTTGTTTAAGTGCTGTATTCATTGATTCCTCTAACGTGTATCGTGCTGGATATGGAAAGGCCATGGCGAGGAGGAGAGGTGGTGGGTTTTTTCCTAGCAATCCTGTATTTACAGCATGTTAGATCACTTGCTTCCTAAACTATAGAGCAGGGAAGAAAACAGAGAAAGCCAGAAGCTAGTTATGTCAGGGACACTTTACAGTAAAAATGTGTGTCTGTGTGATTCAAAATGAGAAACTCTGTAAACTCTGTTTAAATACTAAGTTAGGGTTGGGTTTTTTTTGTTTTTTGTTTTTTTTTTCTTAGCATGTGGTACGTTATTGCCATATTTTAAGGGTCCCCTGGAAACTTCTCACTTGAACGATCTCTGGCTACAATGCATCAGATCAAAACAGAGAAACAATTGACATATCACAGAATGTAGCTGCATCTAATAGTGAAATTTGTGGACAGGAAAAACATATGGGCAAAATGTTTTGGAGTATGTTGAAGTGCAGAAGCTTTGGCTCTTGTGGTTTTTCTTTAAAAGAAAATTGGAAAGGGCTCTGCTGCACATAAAGTAACATGCAGGCTTTTCTAATTTAGCTTCTACTTTGAATAGAAAACTTGGTTTCCAGTGTTCAGCTTCTGTGGCATAATTAAGTATAATGACTCTTTTCATCTTTTCTGCTCTGCTATACACAAAACAGTCATATCTGGGAAAGAATAGATTTGTTACATAGATAGACCATAATCTGTGTTGTTTTCTAATACAGCTGAAACTTTTATTTGAGGTTTTGTGGGTTTTGTAGGGGCCTTTTTCACACTTAAGATAAACGTGTAGTTTGGTATTTTTGGATAGTTCTTTTTGTATAGTATTCCTTTTTATTTCTGTCAGTTATGAGATTTTTATTTTTTTTATTTTTATATATATTTGTTTATTTTGTTCTATGAGTTATGAGATTTTGGTAGGCAAAATGTTAATAGCTTACTTCAAGCCAAAAACACTGAAAGAAATGAAGCCATGCGAAATGGGAAGGCAGACAAACCAGGGTAGGTTCAAGCTAGCATTTCATATTGCAGCGTGTCTCAAAGTTCACTGTATGTGCCTTTTAACAGCTGTAGCTGATAGAAACAAATTAAGAATTCATTTGCAGCCATTTTGAAATACTATTCTCACTGTAAAGCTTGTTTCTAGTCTTATGTGTTGCAGATGGAAGAATTGACATGTGAAAAATCTCTAGTTTTCATTGAGATCTTTGCTCCATCAGTTAGAATAATTTCTTATTTTATTAGGCTTATATGAAGAAGGCACTGGTGAGTTTTATGCATGAAAAGTATTTTTTATTAGCATTACAGCTGTGATAGGAGAGTTGGCTAAAAGTGCTTATGGAATTGCACCTCAAACAGAGGTTGTTGCTGTCCTCTCCCTTCTCTGGTTTTCCAGACTCGCTCCTATCATCTTATTTTAGAGACAGTTCTAAAATGATTTCCACAGAGGACTGATAAAGCAAAAACCCTAATTCTTTTCAAACGAACTTGATGAATGATCAGATGTACAGGACTGTTTTTATGACTGCTGATGTCCCTTTCAATCCTGCTTTCTATGTGTCTGTGATCTTATATTGTGAATCATTGGCAGATAAACTTGTTCTTGGAATGTTTGCCATATAACAGGGAAGAAACTTTTCTCAGAACAACAGTGGGACTTCATTACATCAAGTACAAAGACAAATGCTGACATAAATGCAGATGGGCCTGCCTTCATCCATGATATTAACAGATCCCATGGGCTAAGAGATATTAGGTTGTGTGATGTCAGCAGTTAATTGCTAACGCAAGCCTTGATCTGCTATGATGTAAACAGGGTTGTTTTGTCTTCCCCAAGCGCAGGCTCAAGTAGATTATGACCCACTGGATTGGTGAGGTTCAGGCTGCATTTGAAAGAAGTTATAATTCAGTTTTAATTAAAAATAGTAATCCTGTCTATTGCAGACTTGCTATTCAGGGAGAGTGATGGATGAAATCTGTTTCCGTTTTAATTGTGTTCTAAGCTAGCTGATACACTTGCTCATTGAAGTGTGTATTCTGTAATTATCAGTGAGGAAATGCTTGCCTTATCTGTATTTTTGTTTTGGTTTTTTTTAAAGCATGGTGTCTGTGCATATAACATTCAAAACTGATGCTCTTTCAGTGATCAAATAGGTGCAAATCAATGCTCATGTGATGTACAAGAATGTATTGTTTATGGGATAACTCTTACATTGTTGTTAAAGTTTGCATGCTTACAAGGCAGTTCTGGCTTTAAAAAGAACATTTCATTTTAAGAGAATTATTTTACAAGTAATTTTATTGCTTCAGGAACATTTCAAAACTCTGCACGTATTTTTTCTCTTTGAAGTATTAGAGAAATGGCTGTTTAAAATGGCTGGTTGATGTTAGTGAGGAGGAATACAGGACTTCAAAATCTAGTTTACAAAGCAAGCCATATTTCTTCTACACTGTATGATCATCATCTTTCTGCTTTATGTCATCCTTGGCAATAAGGAATCTGGCACCAGCCATCCATTTCCTTGTCTCAGAAGTTCTGCTTTTCCTCCAGGCAGCTAGAGATGCCATGATGCACTGTACTATGTATATCTTCTCAGTGCAGAGATTATTACAGATATTTTTACAAAACTATTTGCTGAATAAAACATGATCTCTGAAAAACGACAATATTACTGCAGTTGACTAAATCATGCTAAGGAGACTGTCACTTTCTGTAATGAAAAGGAGGCTGATCAACACTGAGATTTGACTGACTCAGTGTAATTTTCTGCTGAACTCCATTGACTGAGTTAGAGCACATCACTGATGAATTGCAAATCAGAGTAAAATTCTCCTTTCATTCCTTTTAATATAGCAATAAATATGACTGAGCTGCTTTTGCTGTACCAGTACATAAGATTTATGATATTGTGGCCTAGTGTGCAAGGAGTTGCTAGTGGGAGTGAAACGTACATCTGGAACTTCGTGATCCCACAGGATAAAGACAATAAGTAGGCTTATTGAGTTCTGTAGCAGTATTTTAGGTAACATCAAGTTACATCAGGCCCTAAATATAATTTCATGTTCAGATCAGAATTAATGCAACTTTAGTCTCTGACAATTGTATTTTCATACCTGCTTCTAGAGGGAAAGTACTTAAACTTGAGGTTTATGCACATGCTGTTAGCTTCTGCAGAAACTCAACCTGGAGATGAAGTTAGGGAAGCCTCCTAGAGAGGAGGAGAGCAAACTGTTAAAGTGGAGAAGAAACCAGCTTGGATCACAGCACAGTATATCTCTTGTTCTTCGTAGATGAACATAACTGCATGTATGTTCATGCAAAGTAGAGAAAGGGAATGGAGAGGTATTGCTTTAGAGCTATATATTAGAGACTCTAGGAGCCCACACGACCACGTCTGTTATATTACATTTCTATACCTGGCTGTTCAAAAGGTTTTCTAAAACTTACAGAGGAAATGAGTTCTCTGGCTTGCTGCTTGAACTTCATTGTGCAAATCAGTTGATGTCTCAAAGAACAAATGCCCATTTAAATCTTCACCTTTCTATTCCATCACTGAAGTATTTCTGTGATGACTTTAACTGTTCCAGAGCAGAAATTTACAGCTGTTCCAGTTTAGAGTCTAAAATGAGACTTAGCTCAGTTGTCAGACAGGCTGGCATGCTCTCACTATTCCTTGTGTTCTGTGGCATGTGACTCAATCTGTGTCTTACAAATAAATTGGGTTTCATTTTTGTAATTCTGGTTTTCCAGTTCAAATTTTAAGGGGGAAGTTGTGGGTAAGTATTCCAGAGTTCATTTAAAACAAGAAGAAAAACGCATCCATCCAACTTGATTTAAAAGAATTCTAGTCTTAATACTGGAATTAAATTCTTATGACTTGTATGACACTATTTTAAGGCTTGCTTGTTCCCCTTACAGAGTCTAGCAAGTGGATTGACTTGACTTCAGTCTGTTTTGCAGTTTCCTTAGAATATTCTTAGTGATCTGTAGTCCAGGGAGAAAGACTTAATTCAGGCATGGATCTAGAGAACGAATCTCACTTTTGTGCTCAGTAAAGGATCACACAGATCAGAGGTAGCTGCAGAAACTACAGTACTAATATGGCATTGTTGGTACTTCAACTTACACCTGCAACCTAGCAGCTTTCACCAAATGAAATCAAGTTTTGGAAGGAGCACTTAACTTTTCTTCTCTCTTGTTTGTTCAGGATTGATATTGCCCAATGGAGATATCAATTGGAATTGCCCATGTCTGGGTGGAATGGCTAGTGGTCCCTGTGGGGAACAGTTCAAGTCAGCCTTTTCTTGTTTCCACTATAGCACAGAAGAAATAAAGGGATCAGACTGTGTGGACCAATTCCGTGCCATGCAGGATTTCATGCAAAAATACCCGGATCTTTACCCTCAAGAGGATGAAAATGAAGAAAAAGAGAAGTCAAGCAAAGATTTGGAAGCTACTCCTATGGAGGCTGCTGCTGCCAAAGAGGAGAAGGGATCTAGCTAATGAAGATGCAAGGAGGCTGTTGTCTCCGTTTCTCATTTTCAGAGACATGGACTTTTGCAGTATGTCTGTCTTTTGAGTCGCCGAGAAATGTTTCACCATTGTTCTATACACTGTATCATAGTAAATAATTTATTGCCGAAGGAGAAATCTCAGTGCTACAGCCTCGCAAAAAGAACGAGTATGTGTATGTATTGTGCAACCTGCTGTCAGACACAGTTAATACTTTAAGAGCTGTTTTTTACCTTCAAGTTCTCCTTGAGTTTTGACTTGAATAATGTCTTTATAGCATTCAACTAAAATTCCACTAGCACGCTAGGTCTGTCTTCACTTAAGTATGTTCTGATCAATAGCTGCTCTTTCTTAATGTATTCTGTTCTATTAATAGAAATTGCATTAAATGATTGTTTTTCCTTAAAGATTATTTTTGCCAGAGTGATACAGGATCTTTAAAATGGCCTAAATCTAGAATTTGTAAAATAATTTCAAATGGTCTTATTAGATTATGGTTGCATTTTACTACCAGCATCAGGTAAGGACTGCCAGAAAAATGTTCAAATGTGTATCTCCTTCGATTTAATTTACTTGTTGTGATGGCTTTTGCATTTTTAACAATGGTGTGTTGCACAAACATTGATAAAGATGAATGGAAAGAATGTTGGTCACTGGCTTTATTTTTGCTCTGAAACTACAGTTTTTGGGTTCCTTTAGTTAGTACCTGCTCCTTCAGTGTTTAGACAGGCTCTTGTAAAATACTTCGAGAATACAATGAAAATGTTACCTGGTGTAATGATCTCAAAACAGATACTGTGACTTAAGTGCATATTAAAAAGCAAATACTTTTTACCTTCATTGAAATCTCCTGTTTCTGTGTGGTGTGGTTTTTGGTTAACACTGCTTGGATTTGAGGCGCTCTTCTGCGTTGCAAGCAGACTTTGAATCAATTTGTGGGCTGTGAAGATCAGTTGCTTCAGCTTGTCAGATTTTTGTTCTTGGCCCATTCTTTCCTCCCCAGGCAGGAAGGCATAAAAAATGTAAAGCATTTTCAGTAGCTATAGTGGACTGTGGATCATGAACCAGCACTACAGAGGACCTGAACAGCTATTAATATATTTGAAAATTACTTTAGAGGTGCAAATTATTTAATAGTAATTCACTGTAGTTTAATACCTGTGGATAAGGGAATGCTACATTGTTTTCTCTTTCCCAACAAAATGTAGACTGTGAGAATTGTGTTACAAAACAAATTGTACCCCTGGCTGCAGCAGCTGTTCATTGCAGGATTGTTTGGGTTTTGTTTTTTTTTTCCCCTCTCCTTATGTGTTGGTTAAGTTAACCCAAGCATTAAAAGCTATAGTGGCAATAATGCAGCCCAGTAAGCATAGTAATGTTTAAACATTCGCCTGTCTCTGTGAGCAGCAGTCTTGAGTGCTCAGCAGCATTGCTTCCATATAATGTTTTGGTATCTTGTTGTTTGCATAAGTTAGTTTAGTATTAGTGATGATGCTTCTGAATGTTTGAGGGGAATTTCTGTTAAATTTTACAGTGTGTTTGAGCTGTTTATATTTCAGTACAGCTGTTAGATCCTCAAAAAAAAAATTTGTAGGCAATTAAGTCGCTGACAGCTACTCAGTTCTGAGGGCATGGATAGCAGGTACTCTCAGCATCTCTTTGTTTCTTTTAAAAGAAACAAAGTGTGACAGAGCTTCTCAGTGGGACTCTTTCAGGCGTAGGAAGACAAATGCCAAGTTAACCTGAGTAAATGGGCACAAAAGCAGCGGTGATAAACCTTGGCACTTAGGCAGCTGGACCATGAAAATGAAATCTTAGGCAATCAGATAAACACTGGGCACCAAATAAAAAAAAAAAAATCACGTGCACCCAAGCTTTTGGTTGTTCAAATGGAAATCCAATGCGTTATCTGTGAAGAAGCAAGAGCTGTTTGTGAAGGGGTGCTCTGTTCTGAGAACGGTTTGCCTCCTATTTTTTTTCTGCTGTGTTTTTCTTTCCCACGTTGCCTCAATGCTCTACAGGTTTTGGGTTTATCCTCTGTAACAGTATTTATAGCTTCTGTGCACAAAACAGAAAATGTAAGAATCCTGGTCCTACAGTAGCTAGGGACCTGAACCTAATACTGACAGAGGGAACTTGCAGCATATAATCTAACGTATTTGAAGATGTGTTTAGGGTGGAGTTGCCTCCTTCTGACTCTGCTGTGGCTTTGTAACCTGTTGTGCTAGGTCCAGTACAAATATGGAATATGTGTAAGGGCCTTACATCAGAAACTGTGAAAAACACTACGTAATGTGTTTGAGGTGTTTTGAGAAAGGAAGTCATAGCTCTAATCCTGAAGAGGTCTTTGTGGAAATTATCACTTTCTTTTCCTCCTCTCCTTGTCAAATTAGAAACTAGTGTAACTGTCATCACTTCACTGCATTTGCATTCTGGATATTCCCTTAAAAGTGGGAGTGATGTAACTTGGACTAAACAAAACGAAACAAGTCTCTCTCATTCTCCTCACCTACTTTCTCTGCCCCGCTTGATCCTCCTGTGAGTGCCAGCCTGTTCTATTTTTGACTGTTGGTTTTTTTTTCACCATTAAAAACTTAAAATAGTAATAAAGATTTGCTTGACAAGGAATTAGGGCTATATGTTGAGACACAGAGTCCAGTCCCTCCTGTTTAGTTCTTGGAGTACATTTCCTGCTATGGAATTTGTATTTTGCTGCGTTAAGAGAAGTAAAATGCAGTCAGACTTCTTTCTGGATTTTAAGTTCATGACAACCACGTACTATAGCTTGCACTTCAGTGAAAGATTAGGAATTAGAAGGTAGATCAACAGTAAATACATATTGCCACTTCCTTGGACCCATGAAAGCAAAGAAAGAGAATCTATTCAGTGTGGACTCTGCATCATCAAAATCAGCTGCAATTTTAGGGTCAAGTTGTCTTTCTTGACCATTATATATCCCTTGAAAGTATTACAGAATTTACATGGAGATTTCTTTTCCATCTCTAGTAGTAGGCTTGTGTTTAACTCTAGATGAATGGGGAAAAATAAGTTGTCTGGAATTTCTTTTTTTGCTATGTAAAGTAATGCAGTTGTCTATAGATAACGTAACTCCTTGTTTTTGTTGTTTCCCAGCATTGCTTTCTTTACATGATTTTCCCCTTATAGTTGCATGCTCCCATTTTAAATCCAAAATGAATCAGTGGTTATTCTAGTATGTAATAAAGATGATTAATTGATCCCTGGCAATATGTGGCAAGCTCGTGAAACAAGCAGATGGTAAGTTGCATTTTTGTTGTCTGGATACAAAACTTAGAGCTGCATATTGCTGTCTTGTTCTAATGTGTTTCTTATTTTCTGCATAAATAGTATCTTGGTTCTCTATCTGCCATCAATGAGCTACTGATTCTTGGGGGAGAGTAGTAGATTCAAATGTTCTTGAGAAATTGCTTGCATGGAGTCGTTTTGTAATGATTTTATGCATGGTGTATCAGGTGCTTTTGTATGTCAAGTCAAAAGTAGTCATTGGTGGGGACAAGGAAAGCTTGCGTTACGAAATAATTGCTCTTTATTTAATTCTATGTGTTTTAGTTGATCTCTGTCCTATAAAAACTGATGTGCTGAGTGATTAAATGTTTATTAGAGTTTAGCTAAAAGGAACTGTTAACAAGGCATGAAGCACTTCTAGATGTAATAGAATATGTTTTTAATAGAAATTACTTAGCCCGAACAGTTACGTGCAGATATAATGCCAGTTGGATTTTATCCTTTAGTTTTTAGAATTAAAAGAGGTGGGTTTAATTGTATTTGTCCTACAGACTTTTATCATTGCTCCTAAAATGCTGCCTTTTACAATATTACTGAGTAATACTTTATTTTTCCAGCTTTAATCATTCTTCTTCAGTTGTTGCAGTTGTAATTCTGGAGTTAATGCAGTAGTGAAACAAGCCATAGTTTTGAAGGCTGGGTAGGACTGTTATCAACTGGCTGGAATTCCTGCATGATGCAGCCCACAAATTCATGTAGAACTTGTGATAACTTGCTTGTTAGGCTGGGGTTGTTCCTGCAATCAACTTAAACTTGAATCAGTGGGGCATGTGTCGCATCTCCTGATGAGGATAAAGATTGCCTATAAAACTTGTCTCTTATAGGTGAATGTTTTAACACAAAATATATTCTAAAATATAGTTCACTACTGAAAAGTGGTTAAAATTAGATAAAATTACGTTTTCAGGATGTGTTTAAAAGTTACTCTTTTTTTTTTTCCTGTTTTTCTCTGCACTACAGCCTACCTGCATTTCAAAGACCTAACTTTAACTCGTGTTTAGTAACTTTCCTAGAGAGATGACCTTGCTTCAGGTGCAAAAATGACCTTTTTTTTTTTTTCTTTCTTCCCTGCAACAGGAATGATGTACGCAACAGTGTCTAGAGGGAGATGTTTGTCTTGCAGTTTATTCTAAGGATCGTTAGATCTGGGGATCTGGCAGGGCTGTGTTGGAAACAAGATCTATATCCCATGCAGTTCTTATTGAGAATGTCCTTGTTAAACCTTGCAGCGATGTCTCCTGTTCATCTAAGGCACTTATCTGATCACGTGTCAATGAATCTCTTTGAGGAAAGTTGTTACTTAAATAGGTAGAACCTACTTTCATATTCCTAGGGAAGAAAAAAAGGATATTATATGCTTCTTAGACTCTTGTTTTACTTCTCATTAAAATTCTAGCAGTGTTAGTGTGGAACAGTGTAGAGAAACTACCAGCAGTTCGTCATTTATTCTTAATCAGCTCTATTCACTGGACATGACTTCATTTTGTCGAACACCACCAGCCTGTCTGCAGTTTTTCAGCTGCTTTTAACCCCTCTGGAGCTGATGTTTTGTTAGTGATACTGCGAACCTGAGAGAAGACCCCTCCAATAGAGGAAGAATGGAGAAGGTGCAGCAACAATTGTAACACCAATGTGTTAATTCTTTCCCACTAACGCAAGATAGTACCTAATATGGTTCGTGGATCAGTGTGAAGTTATTTAAAATACCAAACTAGGTAATTTGATAGTGAATTCATAGCTAGAGCATGAGGTTCTCAAGGCCTGAAACAGTAAGAAGTTAGGCTTTTTTTTTTTGGTGTTCCTCACTGTAGGCTAGTTCTGACTGCATAGGATAAGATGACTAGAATTCTAGTTCAAGACTTATGGATCTGTAGCTGAGCATGGAAGAAGCAGCAGCTTATCTTTCTCTCAAATATTGATGCATCTTGATACTATGAAGCCCAAGAAATAGGTCAAAGACTGCTAAAATACTGAAATATTAGTGAATGTAATACATAACTCTTTCTACTAGACACTCTGAGCAGTTCAGACTGCTGCTGTTAACATGTTAATAGTATTAGTAAAAGCTTGCAATGGATTTTGTACCCGTCACTGCCAGAAGCACAGGGGTTTATGATTAGAGTACCCTGTGCATTCATCCAGTGGTTCAAGCTGGAACAGCCTTTTCATGCATTCAGAGCCACTGAAAGCAGCCCCGTACAACATGCTGAAATGCTTGGAATGTTGCTTAATTGTCTGCCATTTGCTAATTTAATTGAAATTATTAAATATTTTGTCCTGCTTGTGGAGGGTGCAGTGTTTACTGCTTGATATACAAAAAAGCTTTTTGTAATTCAAGGAAAAGAGCCTTGAGGTGGCCAGTTTCAC